CGGGGCTGTGCTGGGAGGGGAGGCGGGTGGCAGCGCTGGAATGGGAGCAGCCCGAATCCACCTCGTAATTAGAAGCGTCGGTGACAAAAGGCATTTAAGGGAAGGAGGCAGATTGCAGGGTGAGGGCAGGGGTGGGAGTTTCCCTTCTCATTATCCTGCAGGAGCAAACATCCTCTACAAACACCCTTCCTCTTCAGAGTTGCTCTTAGCTTACCAGCAGCCTGTCCCCCTCTCTGTGCCCCAGAGGGGTGCAGGGTGTTCTGTGGCTCCTCAGCACTGAGGGGAAGGTTTATCCTTGGAGCTGCAGGATGTTGCAGTCATGCTTTGCAGCTCTGGTCTCACGTCACATCGTGCCTGGGCTCCTTTGGGCTGGATGACTTTGTTCAGAGGGTCCCAGCTCTGCAAAAGGCCATTTGCCTGTAACTGTAAAGCAAAAGTAGATTTAGGGGTGTTGCTGAAGTAGTTACAGTGAGTGTTGGGTACTGCTGTGCAAGAGAGATGCTTTGGATCCCCAGGGGACAAGAGCTGGGGCCTCTGACACACTGATTTTCTGAGAGTCTTGCCATGACTGAATATGTCATTAGGGGCAGTAAACTGCAGTGATGTGCCCCAAAACAAAGGGGTGTGGGGCAGATCCTGGGCATTGCTGCTGGCTGTCATGGGCTCACAGCCCCCCACAAAGACTCTGCAGGCCCCAGCTTGGGAGAACAACGTGGCACAGCTCCAGCTTTCACTCCAGGCTTGCATTGCAACACCAAGCCTGCAATAGCCCAGCTGGTTATGAAAGATAGGGCCGTTATCTGGCACTGCTGGTGCTATCAGCCACGTGTGTAGGGGGGCAGCTCCACAGGGCTGCTCTGCAGGTACGTCCTGCACCGTCCTCTGGCTCTGTGATAACTTGGCTGGGCCACAGCACTGCCTCAGGATGGGGTTTTGGGCTCGATTAGGAAGCAGAACCCCTTTCTCTGAACACAGTAATCAGGAAAGCACAGAAGGGACTTGGTGCTTCACCCAAACTCCCCCCAACCCAAGCGCTTCCCACCCCAGGGTGCTTGTTTGTGTGTTGGCACAGTCTGGTCCCTGCTCCTGCTGGGTCCCAGCTGTGTGTGTTGGAGAAAACAGCTCTGCTGAGGGGAGCTGCTCTTGAATAAACAGCTATTGTTGGGGCTGCAGTGCCTGTTAGTGCTTCCCAAACAGGTACTAATCCCGGCGGTATGTGGGAAAAACCAGGCAGCGAGGGCAGAGCTTGTCAGCAATTTAAGGCATTTACCTTCACAGGAGGTTTATGAGTCAATGAGCAACTGTTTCACCCTTCCTGGCTTCCACAGGGCCCTGTGGGTGAAGGTACAAAGTAGCAGGAAGTCGAGGTTATGTTGTATCTTGTATTGTGACCTCCCTCATCTCCAGAGTTTGTCTTCAGGCTGCTGGTGTCCCTTGAAATGCAGCAACCTTTGGCACAGGGAGGTTGCAGCACTGGTCCAAGTCCCTGGTGTGGAATGTGTCAGTAGCCACATGGTGGTGGGTGACACCCATGGCAGGGAGTGCTTCAGGTCTGAACATGCAGCTTCCACCCTGTTGACTCCTGTCTTCTAACACCAGGACCGCCCGTACAAAGGGTCTGACACAGCCTGGTGTGAGTAGAGCAGCTCTGGAGGTGCTGTGTGTAAAACTGGGGTGTCCTAGAATCGCTTAGTGTGGAAAAGACCTGTAAGATCCCTCCTGTGTCTCCACAGGTGAGTGATGAGATGGTGGTGGAGCTGATTGAGAACAACCTGGACTCCCCTCCCTGCAAGAACGGCTTCCTCCTGGATGGCTTCCCGCGCACAGTGAAGCAGGCGGAAATGGTACGTGAGCTGCTGCTCCAGCATCTCCTCCCTCCCTGGACACCAGCTCCCTCTGCACTGCCCTGCTGAGGTGGGTACTTTCTGTTGCAGCTGGATGAGCTCCTGGAGAAGAGGAGAGAGAAGCTGGACTCTGTCGTGGAGTTCAGCATTCCCGACTCCTTGCTGATCCGGAGAATCACCGGACGGTAAATCCTGTCTCACTCGGGGTGTGGGGTTTCCTACTCTGAGTGTGGTGACCCAGGTCAGTCTTTAGGCTGTGCTCTTGCTCTGCTGGAGCTGTTGCTGCTCCCTTATGCATGAGAAGAGAAGGCTCCAGGGAGACCTTGTAACAGTCTTCCAGTATCTAAAGGGGTTCCAGGAAACCTGGAGAGGGGTTTTGGACAAGGGCCTGCAGGGACAGGACAAGGGGAATGGCTTTAACCTGCCAGAGGGGAGATTGAGATGAGCTCTGAGGCACAAGTTCTTCCCTGTGAGGGTGCTGAGGCGCTGGCACAGGGTGCCCAGAGAAGCTGTGGCTGCCCCATCCCTGGCAGTGTTCAAGGCCAGGTTGGACACAGGGGCTTGGAGCAACCTGCTCTAGTGGAAGGTGTCCCTGCCCATGGCAGGGGGTTGGAGCTGGAGGAGCTTTAAGGCCCCTTCCAACCCAAACCACTCTAGGATTGTGTGATTCCATATTTGAGCACTGCTAGCATCCTGTCTGGGGTCAGTTGTGGCCCATGATGTCCCCTGTTTGCCCTGTGTCACCCTCCCATCTCCAGGAGCTGGCTTTCTTCCCCAGGAAAGCATAAAGTAAAAACTCCACTTCTTAGCACAGCTGCTTTTTTCAGGCGCCTGAAGAGGCCCTTGGTACAGAAATAACCAGAAGAGCTTTTTTCTTAGCAGAGAGAGGCTGATGGGGCTGCTCTTGCAGATGTTTAGATGCTGATGAGTTTGAGGTTCAGGAGAGCTTGTCCTTTGCTGACACTTGATTTCTGTCTTAGGCTGATTCACCCAGCAAGTGGCCGCTCTTATCACGAGGAGTTCAGACCCCCGAAAGAGCACATGAAGGACGATGTATGTGAGCTCCTCAGGCTGCAGCTTCCCTTGCTTTGGGTTTAGCTGATACTTTGCAGCATCCCTGGAAAAAACCTCATTGCTTTCCTTCTCTCCTACCTTCTGTCCTGGCTTTCTGGGGAGCGTGGGGATCTGCCTGGGCAGCCTGAGCCAACAGCACGGGATGAGTGAAGGGCATGGCTGTTCCATGGACCCATGCCGGACTCTGCCCATAGCTGAAGTTGCAGTGGGTTGTGACTGGTTTCCCTCCTGGGGAGCAACTGCAGCCTGCTCTTAAGGCTCCTTTGAGCAAGCAGAGTGGTGTGTGGGGGAATGACCACGATGCTGAATCCTCCTCTCTTCAGCGACTGCTTTGGCTGCGCTGGGTTCGCCCCGCTCTCCTCTGCAGACCGGGGCATTGCTCCTGCAGCTCTAGGCTGTGTTTGGAGGAGGGGAGCAGGGGTTGTGAGAGCTGCAGAGCGAAGGGGGCAGCACGTCAGGCTGCAGCTAGCTGGAGACTGTCCCCTTGCTTCTCCCAGGTCACTGGAGAGCCCCTGATCCGCCGTTCGGATGATAATGAAACAGCCCTGAGGACGCGCCTGAAGGCCTATCACACCCAGACCTCCCCCTTGGTGTCCTACTACAGCAAGCGTGGGATCCACACGGCCGTGGATGCCTCCCAGTCTCCTGATGTGGTGTTTGCCAGCATCCTGGCAGCCTTCTCAAAAGCAACATGTAAAGACCTGGTTATGTTCATTTAGGGCTCTGTCCCAGGACAGAGCTCTCTCGCTTTTCTCTCTGTCTCTCCATCTCTGTCTCTCTGGGGTCAGGGAGGGTGAAGAGCTAAGCAGAGTAGAAGAGGAGGGGACGAGGCGATGTGGTCCAAGGCCGGGCTGTGCTGATTCCCTATTAAACGAGCTGTTAACGGTCTCTATTTCGGGATCTGTGTGTCTGCGGATGCCGGAGCTTTGGCCTCTAGAGGTCGCGGCGAGCCCGAGCACCCGCTGCCCGGAGCGGGGTTTGCATCCCCGGCTCTAAAGGCTTTTGTTTCGCTCTAGAAGGAGCTAAACTTGCAGCTTCTCCTGGCTGCTCCGCAGCAGGAGGTTGGGAAGAAGGGCTGGGTGCTGGGTAAGTGATGCTCTGTTGGCTGCAGGCAATGGAACACGGGTTACTTTAGGAAGCAGTGAAGGGCTTGTGTGTCACCTGGGGAGGGACAGGTTGACTTCTGCTGCTCAGGGCTGGCTGAGAGCTTGTCCTGGTTCTATGGGTGTAATTCTCTGTGGGGCAGGTTTACCTGAGGGCTTGGCCCATCTTCCTCCCATTGTGATGGGGCTTTAGGACAGGAAGAGGGAGGGTGATTGCTGGGGAGGTTTCAGCCTCTCCTCATTTGTGGGCCCTTATCTAGCAAATATTAGTGAGGTGCTTTTTGCTTTAACAACTTGAAGTCTCTAGTCAGAGTCTAACAGTCACTGTGGTGATCTGCTGAGGACAAGAAAGGGATGTGGGGTTTATCTCTTCACTCTTGCCTTGGCTTTGGCCAAGGAGATGAAGATGTGTTGAGCTGCTCCTGATCCCACAGTCTAAATAAAGCCTTATTGCAAAACAAATGCTTTCTCAAGGCCTGAGACAGCGTTATTAACCACTGGCTTCATGTGCCCTTGAGCCAACGACCTTCACTGTGAGCTCATGGAAAAGTCTTTGTTCCTTGAGCACATCCTGCTGCTCCATTTGAGGACACTGCATGCAGTGTCCTTAGTGCCATTATACTGCTCTGTGGTGACCCTGCAAGGCTGGTGGTGGCCTTTGCCCATGTGGGGCTGCAGCCTGGCCTAGAGGACCCTGCTGTCAATGCAGACTGGCCCAGACGAGACTTTGGCCTTCAGCCTTCCATGTGTATTTAGTGACTTGCTGGTGGAGTCCCCTCCTGTTTTGAGGAATTGACCTGTCTCCCTCCCACACTGAGCTCTGGGGGCTGTGTGTCCACACCAGATGCCTCATCCTCAGGAATCCCTTGCTCTTTTTCTTGGGAATTTCTCTTTTGTCTGAAAATCACTCTGTGTCCTCAGACATCCTTCCAACCCACCTCTTCCAGCAAACTGGGAATACCATGGGGAACTGAAAGCGGTTGACGTGTTGCTCATGAAAGCACGTGGCTGCAGGGAGAGAGGGTTCGGAAGTAAATGGTGCTGGTTTCCCCAGCAGCCCTTGGGATCCACTGGGATCCCCCAGATGGCTGTTGCCTTGTCAACAGCCTTCCTGGGAAAGGGCAGCCCTGGTGTGTGGCATAGGACTGTGGGGCTCCAGGGGAGTGTGTGCTGGAGCTGCCCCAGTGTCTCTGTGACTATAAGGAAGGTCTGAGTGGAAGCAGCTTTTAGCTGAAAGCGTGTTGAGAGAGCTGCAGCTCCCAGCACGCTGCTGTAATCCAGGGAAGGCTTCCCAGCCAGTTGACATTCCTGGATCTGGCCATGGTTTTCCTCCACAGCAAGAACAATGTGTTCTTCCACTCTCTTGTTTCTTTCCCCCCGCCTTGTGCTCACTTTGCATCCAGCTCACAGTCTTTTCCTGCCTTAAACCATGGTTAATTTGGGGGGTTTCTTTATTTTTTTTTTCCCTAAATCTATGTTTTTGTTCCCATTTGTTCCAGCTGAGTGACTCCATGAAGCAGATGAGGCACCACCACACGCTGCACACTGCTACATCACCCATTGCAGCCCTCCCCTGGGGGCAGGGGAGGCAGGGAGGGGGTATGATTGATGGGAGGGGGGGGAAGGAGGTGGTAGACAAGGGGCTTGGGGGCTGATTTGGTTGGCTTTTGGTTGGATTCCTTATTCAGCACAATCATTGCGAAGAGGAGATGGGCTTCTCCTTCGAAATCACTTTTGGTTGGGGAGGCAAAACCATGGGACAGAGTGGAACATCCCCAGCAGGGATCAGGTCCTTGGCTGGTGAGGAGGGGAGGGCTAGATGCTGTTCCAGGCTTCTCCAGGACTTTGGGGGCTTATCTCCTGGGTACTCTGAGGCCACTGCTGTGATTTTCTTCCTGTCAGCGAGGACCAAACTGAACAAATGACTCATGGAAAGGCCAAGAAAGAAAAAAAAAAAAAGATGCCAGGTCTTTTCCTGGAAGTTTTGTTGTTCTTGTTCTGCTGCATTCCTGAACCCTGGCACTGGGACTGCTCTGGGCTGCTCTGGGCTGAGCAGAGGGGCTGTGGCTCTAGTCCCAGCCTGCCTTGGCAATGGGATGGCTTCACTGTGACCAAGCTGGAATTCTCACAATGCTGAAGGAATGCAGAAGAGCCTTTTTATTTCTGGAATCGTTGCAGAGCTAACACTGAATTGGGCTGGGTTTGCATTTCTTTTTAGCTCAAATGGTGCCTTTGTCTAACCTCTGAATCAAGAATAAAAGAACCCCTTTACATTTTCGTACCTGTTGCTGTGTTCTCTTTGACCTGCAAGCTGTGGGATAGGAGCTGGATGCCACTGTAGGCAACTAACACTGAGCTGGGTGGCTCCTCGGGCCTGATCCTATCTTGAGGATGTTTTGTGCAGTTGGAACTGTGGCTTGGAATTCCTCTTTTCCCTGCTGATGTGTTTCAATGCTTTATCACCACAGCAATGGTGTCTTCTGGTTTGCATGCTCCTGTTTCTTCAGGCATAGCACTGAAAGCACTGAGCCCTCTGTGTATCCTGACCCTTCCTGGCCAAAGCTCCTTTCAGGGATGGAGTTCCAAGCCTTTTCCATCTTCCCTTCACATTGCCAGTGCGTGCAGGAGCTGATGTTATTTCCTTCTCTCCTCCTGCAGCAACTGGAAGCCACATGCTTTGTCTTCTGCTTCTGCTCGGTTGCTTTCTGCCTTTTGTAGCTTGTTGCATCTCTCTGTTCCCCCCCACTGGTGCTTCTTGAAGTGCCAAGGGCAAAATCTGCTCTAACACAGGGAACAAGGGCAGTTCCTGGCCTCCCTTTACCCTGTTTCTGAGCTCTGGTGGGTTTATCACCATCCTGTACCTCCACTTAGCATTCCCTCCTTGTTGAAGGTGAGTTTGTGGTGTCCTTCCCTTGTTTCTTTTGCTGATGGATGTTAAGCTGGGCTCTTCCTCATTGTTTGGGATTGTGTCCTCTACTGCTTGCCTGCTGCTGTTTAAAACCTGTTCTGCCTGCTCCTCCTGGTTTCTAGTATGTGGGATGGAGGAGTCCTGGCTCCTCTGAGCTGGGCTGCTTCTGTTTGATCCTTACCTAAGCGTGGAGCATGAAATGAGCTGTGGGAGAGGCTGCTGGGGGGAGGCTGTTTACCTCAAGCCTCCATCCTCTGTGGCTGGATCTGTTCTGTGACCTGTCTCTCTCATGGTGCCCTTGAATGTTTTCCACAGCACATGCTGCTCTGCAGGTGCTGGAACTTCCTTCTGTTCCCCCATTCCGTTCCAGCAAGCTGCTTATCAGGCACTATTTTGAAAACTCTGTTCATATTTCATCCTCACAATTATTCAGCAACTATAAAAGGGGAAAATTCCTATTTATAGCCCAAGGACCAGCATCAAATAGGACACTGAATTCTCGCTGATAGAGGAAGTGACCTGTTCTCTAATGCAGAGATATTTCTGCTGAAAAGAAACAGCCTCTTGGATGGGGGAGGGCTGAGAAGCTTTGGGCCATCTCTTCCCATTGAAAATGTGCTGCAGTCCTAAAAATACAGTATCTGCCCTTCTCCCCTCCTGATGGAGCCATCTGTGCCAATGAGATTGCAGAAAAACCTTTTATTGTGCATTTGTGGGTAATAAGAATGAGCCCACTGACTCCTGGAGGTCTGGTTTGGAGCTGGGCTTGTGTTTCAGCTCCACACTTGATCTCTGACCTTGACTTTGGAGGGAGAAGTCACTGCAAAGATTACCTGCTGTGGGCAAGCAGCACGAAGCCCTTGTCTGTAGAGTTTGTACCATCACGGTGCACAGGGGCACAGCCGTGAGATGGAAAGAGCAGAGGGGCTGAGGAACAAAGAACTTGTGGAGAGCAGTGAATGGAGGGGGTGGAAAGGGGGAAGAGCACCAGGGACAGGGGTGGGAACGGCTGTGGATAAGGGGAGTGCCTGTTTTGCCTGAGCCTGCTTCCCACGACTGCCTCTGCCCTTCCTTCCAGGTAAGTTAAGCCACAAAGCTGTCGCTGGCCTTTGCCTGCCACTACTCCCTGTTGTCACTATGTCCTTCCCCTGCTCTCCAGGCTCTTTAGGAAGAGCTGCAGTGGATGATACCAAGCGAGGCTCTGGGAGGTGGAGGACCAGAGGATGGGATTCCCCCTCCTGTCGCTGTGGCAACCGCGGGGAAGGGAAGGGAAGCAGCAGTGGGGTGTGATGGGGAGGCTGCGGAGGCAGGGCCGGGCTGACATCACGCCGGGAGGTGGCGCAGAGGGAAGAGGAGTGGGAAAGGGAGAGCCAGGGAGACTGCGGAGGGAAGAGCTGCAGCGGGAGTGGGCTCCTGGGAGAGGTAAGAGATGCTCCGGGGGCAGCAGGGTGGGATCTGCTGGGATCAAATCCTGCCTTGGCTTCTTTCTGATGGCTCTTGGGCAGCAGCAGTGTTACACAATGCCCTGGCAGCCTGGCTGGCTGGTGCAAAACCTGCAAATCCATCCCCCCATGGATGGATACAGCAGTGTGTGTCACTGACGCTGTGCTGGGAAAGCCAGGAGTACCTGCACCTCCAGGGTGGGCTGAAGGGAATGGGGAGCAGCCCTGGTCCCTCTCTGGAGAACGGGACCAGAGCTCTCTGTTGGGATTAGAGCAGGAATCACTGATTAAATGAATGAGGAGTTTGCAGCCCCTGAGCTGCTGGGAGGCTGTGAGAGAGCTGCTGCACTGGGACCCAGCCCAGCAGCGTGTGTTTGCAGTGGGGAGTCTGAACTGCAGCTCTCCAGCAGGCTCAGCACTTACCCTGCCCTTGCAGGAAGCAGTAGCTGTGGGGAAGGCAGCGAAGGTGCACAGCAGGTGCTGGGAGTGCTCTGGATGTGGATCCTGAGGATCTGGAAAGCAAAACAACAAAGTCCTTGGATCCACTCTGGATGCTGTGTTGCCCTTTAGCGGTTGCATAACGGGATCTGATCTGTGAGGGGAGAGAACAAGGGGTGACGGTCACCTCTGTGCCCTGCAGCATCCCAGCATTACCCCTGTGCTGGCCCATGGCCCTGGGGGCAATTTCAGCTCTTCTAATCCTAAAGCTGGGCTTGAACACTTGAACACGCTGGTGGGTTTACAGCTCCATGGCAGGGGGTGTGTGGACTCTGCACCTACACGCAGGCAGCGATAGCAAAGCAGAAAGGGAGTTCATCGGCACCCACTCACTCTGTGCTAAGCTGACTTGCACCCAGCCTTGGGGTGTATCTGAGTGAGGAAAGGCCATGTGGTGTCCAAAGCCCATTGCTGTGGGTGTCAGAAAGCAGTATTTGTGCTGGAGGTGCAAGAGGCACAAAGCAGAAGCTCAGGAGGGCTGCAGAAACCTTGTCTGAAATCCAAGAACAGGGAGAGGGTGATGCTCCTGCCACTGCCCTCTTGGGGAAATAACACGTTTCCCATGTCATGGAAAGGGCTGGGAGCAGCAGTGTGGCCATGGAGAAATGCAGCCAGGAATGCTTGAGAGTACATGAGAGAGCAGAATGGCAATAAGGAGCAGAAAGATGCTTTAGTGAAGGCTGTTGCTGCGGGATGAAGGCACAGATGCTGCTGGGTCTATGGGGAGCACTGGGCAGGGGCCTGGGGGTGCCCAGACTGCTGCTGGTTCATGGTAACCCTGCAAACAGCAACAGCTTATGCTGCTGTGGGACTTGTGTGGGAGCACTGGCTTGGAGGCTGCAGTGTTGTCACTCAGGTGGCTGTGGGGCTGCATTTCCTGCCTCGGACAGGACAGGAGAGGCCAGGCCCTGCTGGCAGCTCTCTGAGCCCTCGCAGGGAGGGAGCCGGCCCTGGACGGCCCCAGGAGCTCCCACATGAGTCCTTGCTGGGCACAGCCTGAGCCAGGCCCCCCGGGGGCAGTTTGGGAAGGGGTCACGCTGCTCTCCTGCAGTTTCAGTGCCTGAGGCTGCAGTTCTGCATGGCCAGCAGCTAACACTGCTGCCGCTGCTCCTGAGCCAGGCGGGGAATGGCACCAGGAGCTCCTCCAGCAGAAGGGCCATGTCAACCCTCCTAGTCCTTGACCTGTACTTCGGCTCTCCTTGCTGTTCCCCCTGTACTTGCCTACACTGCAAAAGGGATGAGCATGTGAACATTACACAGCCTGGCATCTGCACATCAGCTGAAGCAGCTGCGTCTGACGTGCTCGTAGTGCTTTCATGCAAGCCTGTTCCACTGCTGTTACCTGTGAGTTGTCACCCTAGATGCACAGGAACATGGGAATAGATGGGAACTTGTGCTCTGCTGGGTGCTGGTTCCAGCACAAGCCCTCCTGGGAAAACAGGATGGGGAGCTGAGAGCCTCTGCAGAGCCTGAGCCACAGGGAGGAGCTGCCCTTGTGCCAGTGTCCAGAGAGGGCCCTGGGAGCTGAGCCAGGTCCTGTGAGGCATTTTAATCCTTCCTATTCCAACGTCTGTCATGACTCCACTGCAGTGGATGTTTCCTTGTTCCTTTGGCAGGGCTGCAAACAGGCCCTCACGGCACCTGCCTTGTGTTTGTTTGCACCCCTTATCTGGTGCCACTCGGAGCAGGCAGCTGGCTCCAGGAGAGCAGGGTGCTGTGTTCCACTGCTGCCTGCCCTGCCCTGCAGTCCCTCTATCCTCTCCCTAAAGCCAGGCTGAAATGGCCTTCTGCTGAGGTAGCTGTTTGTGTCATAGCTGAGCTTACTTGAGTGATCAATAGCTCTCAATGGGTATTATCCCTCTGGCCAAGTCAGCACTTCTGTCTTTGCTCTAAACCTGGTCCTCCTCTCAGCTCTGGGGGATCTGGGTGCATCCCAATCT